AGAGTGAGTGCTCTCAGGAGGATTAGCAGTGAACAGGAGTCAATGCATTGGCCAGAATCATGGATAGGGACTGGATGTGAACAGACTAGGAAGTTCACGGGTACACTGGTTACTCTTTCCCATGAGCTATTTGGAGCTCAGAGTCTAGCAATAATGCTAATACAGCCTGGGACAGAAATTGCTATTTTGTTAGTGTTAATTGATTGTTATAGTACTGGCTGGTATAACCTTGACTATTTTACCTAAATTAAAACTTTAAAAAAATTATTAGTCATTAATTATAATACATTTTCCTTTCACACTTCCTCTGAGTTCCCAGCATTGAAGGAGCAGAGGTACTCTAGAAGGAGACAAACAATCTTTCTTGTATCATCAACTTCAATAAAACAGGAAACATTTCTCTCCAAATTTTATCATTGTGTCACTACTCTGTGATTATCTACTGCATAGCTCAAGACAGAAATTGAATTATTTCATTTTTATTAGAGATAACTTATTTTAACATGTTATCTTAATTCGGAGATTACTGAAGGTGGTTGCAAATAATTTCTACTGAAATAAAATGCCCTGGCACATGTAAGAATTATAAAACTGTCTGGTTGAAATCCTCTACTCTCTTGGATACTCTAAGCCAAATTAATTGATCTTTTTAAGTGGAACAATTCAACTTTCCATATTATCACTGGTCTTTACTAGAACTTCATCTTTATTTATTTATTTATTATTTTTTTGGGATGGAGTCTCACTCTGTAACCCAGGCTGCAGTGCAGTGAAGTGATCTCCGTTCACTGCAAGCTCTGCATCCTGGGTTCATGCCATTCTCCTGCCTCAGTCTCCCAAGTAGCTGGGACTACAGGCACCCACCACCATGCCCAGCTAATTTTTTGTATTTTTAGTAGAGACGGGGATTCATTGTGTTAGCCAGGATGGTCTTGATCTCCTGCCCTTGTGATCCACTTGCCTCAGCCTCCCAAAGTGCTGGGATTACAGGCATGAGCCACCGCGCCCTGCCTTCATCTTTATTTTTAACTAAGACATATTGTGTATTCTTCACACAAAAACTTCTGTGATGCTGTGTGCCTTCAGGAGATAAAATAGCAAATTAGTACTATCCCAGAACAATTTCTGCTTTACTAAGCCATCAAACAGTAATATATTAGAATGTTAGTCAGGACTTAACTGATTTATTAATTCCATTTCCCCTCAAAAAATCAAGAAAAAGCAATTTTCAAACATTTATTAGGTTCTTGCTATTTGAGTCTCTTCTTTGTTTTATATGTACAGAAGTTTTAATATATCTACAATTAAGTCTATCAATCTCCAATTATGATTTGTGCATTCAATGTCATGTTAGACAAGATTATGAAATTATTTGCCAATCTATTTTCCTCCAGTTATGTCTCGGTCGTTGTTCTGCTTTTATCAATCTGACAAGTATTTGTATATTGTATAAATAAAATATCCAAATTTACATGTTTTCCTAATATTAACTAATTATTGTTGTTGTGCTTTTTGAAGAGTCACTACTTTCTCCATCAACATAAAATGTGGTTTTTTCTTATGCATTACTTTTACATGTGCTTTGATCTGTTTGGGGAATTCTCAAACTGATTTGGCTTCTCTAAGTTTCTATGTCAGTAAATAGTACCACACAGTTTTAATAATTGTAACTTTTTAATATGCTTTAATACTGGGAAATAGCAAGTTTCATCTTTCTTCTTTTTTCAAATATGTACCTTTTCCAGACTGTCCATGCTTCCAGATGAATTTTAATAATCATTTTGCCAAGCTCTCTCCCAAATCCTTTTTGGGATTTTAAATGAAATTGTACTAACTTTTTAAATTAATTTGAGGAAGCTAACATCTGTTCAACATCTATTATTCTCATCCAAGAATATAATATAAACCTTCATTACTGCTAATTTTTCTTTCTGCATAACACACTTAACAGCCAATTGTTTATCTTGTATTTCTCTATAGATGTTATTTTCTTAAGTCTTGTACATTTCTTTAACAGTTTATTCATAGCTATATAATATTTAATTGCTATGATGAGTTTTTTAAATGTTTTTTATTTGTTGCTGTTGTAGAAAAACCAACTGATTTTTACACATTTATCTTTTGTAGGGTTCCTTAACAAAGTTCATTACCCTAATGGTTCTTCAGTTAATTCTCTTGAGATTTTTAGTAAAATATATTTTTTTTTAGCAAAAAAAGATGTAACCTTTTTTATAATAATTATCACCTTTGAGAGGCAACATGACATGGTATTTATGATTAAAGACTCATGGGTCAAACCATGTGAGTTTTAATTCAGCTCTGCTACTTATTAGCTTCATGACCTTGGCCTTGTTACTTAGCATCTCTTGGCCTCAGCTTCCTAATTTGTAAAATAGAATGATAATAGTCCATATCTCCTAGGATTGTTGTGAGGATTAAATGAGTTAATATTTGTAAAGCATTTAGAACAGTTCCTAGCATATATAGGAAAAATGCAGCAAATATTAGTCTTTTAAAACATTTATTGCATTGGTTAAAATTTGTTAAATGGTGTTAACTATAAGTGATGAAATTGGTCATGTAGTAAGCTACTAGGGTTTTTCTGCTTTGTTGAAATCACTTTTTTGTATTTTAATGACATCTCTCTATTCCTAAATTACTGTGTTACATGTATGTGTATTTTCTTAAAAGAAATATGGTTGCATTTTATCAAAGGTCATTTGAAATCTATTTGGAAGTTAAAATAGGGGTTTTATTCTTTGGTCTAAGATTATGAAATCACTTTAATAAGTTTCCTGATACTGAACCACTTTCACATACCTAGAATAAACACCATGGGTTGTATTATTCTATTTTATTGATATCTACATTCTTTAGCTAGTATTTCAATGAATTTTTATGATTTTCTTTTTTGTGATACTTTTATTAGTTTTGTTTTTTTCTTTTACTTTTTTAGTATTGTGCTTCTTACTAAATAAATCAGAAAAATGTTTTCTCTTTCAAAGAATTCATGAGTATAGGGATAATTTGTTCATTAAGAGTGTATATTTCTAGTAACTGATTATAGATAGCTGATGAAAATAAGATACTATAGTCATTTAAACGTAGTGCTTTACCTCCCACCAAACATTTCTGTTCAAGCTGGTCAAGGACATAGGCTTATGCATCCGACAAAATTAGGCTCAAGTCCTAACTCACCACCCACTTGCTAAATGTGTGCATTTGGCAAGGTATGCTTGTATCACAAGAAATAACCATGCCTCCTTACCTTCCTCATAGGGTTATTGTGAGAATTAAATAAGATTATGCTTATAAATCACTGTATACTCAGCCCACAATATAGGCCTAATAAATTATTTTATATATTAGTTTTAATTTTCCTTAAGTATAAAATTAATTTGTATTTATAATTCTACTTTTTCTGTTCTCATACGGAGATTCTAGTGGTTTATGTAGACACATAAATGGTTTGGGTAAAATTATTTGTGTGAAATTAGTTTATAATAAAAGTAGATTTTAATTAGGACATGTTATTCTTAAATTTATTTTTAGACATATTGACATAAATTTAAATTTTCACATCAAAGTGAAAATGCTCTGGTGAGCCATGGAAATGAACCTATTGTCAATATTTAAACGAAATCACGGAGGGTTAACAGGAAAGTTGTACACTAGTTTTAAGAAGACTAGGCAATGAGCCTAAACCAAACGTAATGTCATCCACTCCTTCCTGCTCCCCTGGAGTTGTGTTCTAGTAGGAATCTGAGAGGAGGGGAAGAACTTTGGAGCCTCCCCTCAGGCTGCAGCTGACCTTAGGTTCTCTTGCTCTGTCACCTAAGCTGCAGTGGAGAAGCAAGGTTCTCACTCTGGGTAGGAGAATGTAGCACTAAGGGATCCAGGTGCCCTCAAATACAAGTTTTACCAAACTGATAACATTTATATATTTATTTTTTATTTATTTATTTATTTTTGTTATACTTTAAGTCCTGGGATACATGTACAGAATGTGTAGGTTTGTTACATAGGTATACATGGGCCATGGTGGTTTGCTGCACCCATCAACCCGCCACCTACATTAAGTATTTCTCCTAATGTCATCCCTCCCCTTGCCCCACACCCCCTGACAGGCCCCGGTGTGTGATATTCCCCTCTGTGTCCATGTGTTGTCAGTGTTCAACCCCTACTTATGAGTGAGAACATGCGGTATTTGGTTTTCTGTTCCTGTGTTACAAACTGAAAACCATTTTTATGAAATACTAATAAGACTGCAATATGAATGTGGCCTCAGTTTTCAAGGGATACACTACTGATTTAGGCAAGTACGAGTATATACAGATATCTGTCCTAGATAGATAGATAGATGATAGATAGGTAGGTAGATAGGTAGGTAGATAGATAGATAGATAGATAGATAGATAGATAGATAGATAGATAGATAGGACAGATACCTGTGAGATACCAGCACACAAAAACCTGTCTCTGAAATAAGTATTAACTTGAGGTTTAGTCATCAAGAATATTTAATTGTATGTACTAATTATAATTCTATCACTATGGTCTCTGAGGAGAGTAGTAACAAGAAAAGCAGTCAGTTTATAAGATCTGATAGGCAGTAGGAATTTCTCTTCTATTTTAAAGGCTATAAATTTCAAAATATCATTCTGATGGGCGAGCCGCCTCTACGAGAACCATTTAAATAGGCACAGCTAAGAGTGGAAATATCAAACCAAGCTCAGCCTCTACTAATCACTTATCCTTGGTAGACACGAGTTGAAAATGTGTATCTCAAGGTCCCAGTATGTATTGTTTGCTATTAATTAGAAATTAACAGTATATTCTATCAACCTTATATTAAACGACATTGTTTTCTAAAATGAAGATATCCCACCTTACATTTTCTTTGCTGTCATCTGGCTTTATAGCAACAAATATATTTTTAGGAACATGTTCAATATATTATTCCATATGTTCCAAGATCAATGGAACAAAAATGTACTTACTCCTATCTTTCCTGTCCCTGGCACAGGGTTTCCTGCTTCTCCCAGAGTTCTCTTGATCGAGTGTCTTTTCAGTATAGCATGACTCCTGAAGGAAACAAAGGCAGGAAAAGATTTATTAAGATAAACATCTCTAGTTTCTTGTCTCTTGCAAAAAAGAACAAGTTGTTCCTTAGACAAAAACGTCTAATTTAGTGACCAAATGTCACATGTTTTTAAAACAACATTCACTGTCTTTTTTATTCCTTTCCCCAAATTGTTTTATTCAGTTTCTCTGATAGCAAGAGCAGGACAAATTTTCTTGAGTAAGCAGCTCCATACACCCAGATACATAAGGAATATATTTCTTTGTATTATTTTGTTCACCATTCAAACACATCAATTGTATTCTGAGCTGTCTCTCTCGTGTTTTGCTCTAAAACTGTGTAACATGAACAGTCAGAGACATTCTTACTGAATAGTAAAATCAACAAGAAAGCAAGATTTTTTAATATATTTTCAAATTTCCATTGAAAATAGATTCACTAGGTGAATGATAGCCTTTCTCAAATGTGTGATTTAAAAAGCAATATATCCCTGCAACCGTTCACCTTTGAATTTAAATACCAAGGAGCAAGGACATTGTTTTCCTAATCATGAGATCTAGTGATTGGAATTGTTGGAGAGAAATGAATCCAATAAAATCCAGTCTACGCATAATGCCTCACCATCAAGAGGCAATATAACATTTTGCTATGAATAGGTAGCAAATTCACTTGAATTTTTTTCTGATCATATTATTTTAGGTATTTATATGTAAAAAAGTCACCATTTAAAAACTGGTTATGAGCTTTAAATAGCTGGAAAACAACCGAGTTCTTTTCATTTACATATATACTTCTGTGGAGGTGGCCACAGTTGATCACTGGGTTAACCAGATGCCCTTTCACTCAGGCAGTCTACATATTTGAGCAGACATAGTAAATGCTTAGATGTTAAAAATGAATGAGACATGTCTCTTTCATTTTATGAAGATCATCTGTTTTTTTTTCTAAATGTGGGGCCAGTAATGTCAACATTCCTCTGTTTGTATACTAGGGTTATTCAGAGCAGGGAAGAGTCTAGTTGCATATTATGTATTCAAGGATCAATGTGGTCTGCTGTCTTTTCTTCCCTACTCCTTTCTAATAAACCATCAAATTCTATCTATTCCAGGCTCTTAATGTTCTTCATGTCACTCTTCCTTCCAATTCCATTTGCATGGGCAAATCTAGTTCAACTCTCCCCAGTCATAGCTTCTTCCATGCCACCCATTCTTCCAGGGGTTATGACATCTCTCACTAGTCTCCCTGGCCTGAGTCATTCCCCTTCCAATCCATTCTCCACACACCTTTCACACTGGGACAGGAACTGAACTTCCAATTTGTATAAAACCCAAGAACTATATGTGGTGGAGATATTTCACTATGATTCTCAAATAAAGTATCTTTTCCCCCAAATGTCAACATTGTTATGTTAGCCACTCTTAGTTTTCAAATAGTTTGATTACTCTCTCCTTTGCTTCTCACATAGTTTACAAATACACCACCAAAAGAATGTTGTAAAGACATTGAAACATAAAGGCAGAAGAACTGAACTCAGTTCTAGTTTCAACTCATCTATTTATCAGCTGTTGATTTTGAGTAGTCATCTCCTTTCCGGGAGGTGAATGGCAGATCTTTGCTCACCAATTGGCACAATAATATTAATCCTATCTGTCTCTCCAGGTTGTTCTGAGATTTAAGGAAGTTCACATACAATGAAATTCCAAATATACGGTTACTACGCTCCCTGAAGATCTGCAAAAGTATAAACTTGCTTCTTTAGTTTAACACTAAATTCAGATTGGGACCTAAGAGGTATCTGTGATCACACTCTTAAGTCTTACAGCTTTCTTTTGGAAAGAACTTTGTTTTGGCTTCCCCCACACCCCCCAAAAAAGAGCACCAAAGGAATTAAACTGTAATATACTTTGATGTCAAAGACACTCTGAATCTAAAAGAGTGGGAAAAAGGAAAGGGAGCTCAAAACAGTGACAAATCTCAATTGTCTGAACCTGCCATTTAATTAAAATAACTCAACTGCCATATGTAGCACAGATATTAATGCCATCTTCTTCAAACTCTGCTAATATCTCCAGACATTACTGGACACTAATAGAAAATATGTCCCTATTCTCTGTCATTGTGTTGTAGAGTTTTAAATGAAAGAAATGTAGAGTGTGTGCAATAGGATGTTTGTTTGTTCTGTTTCCAAAGAGGAAATAAAAGATATCAACCAAATATTCCTTAATATATAATTAGCACTGTGACCTCAGCTCAAGGAAGTCTTTATTTTAGACATAAAAATGACAAAAAATGCTGCTAATCCATGTTTTCCTCTCCTTCAACCCCTGAGTTCTCATGAGCATCCCATCCTGCTGGTTTCCAGGTAACTTTTATATGGGCTTTTGGATGAGCATTGGTTGCAAATACTTTTGGATGATACTGATTATCCTACTTAACCTCTTTACTGTTTTAGATCACTGGGTAATTGGCCAAACAGGGCACTGAGGATCATAAACTGAAAAGAAACAGATATAGCATATCTGTGCAGTATTGATTTCATCAGGCTAATGGATTGAAAATGGTAATTTTAATAGTGCTTTTTAAAATTATTGTTAAAAATCAAAATAAAATTCATCATCTTAATCATTTTTAAGCATATAGTTCAGTATTCTTCATCATATTCATATTGTTATACAACCAATATCCACAACTTCTTTGTCTTGCAAAACTGAAACTTCATACCCGTTAAGTTACCACCTCCATTTCTCTTTCCAAAACCCCTGATAACCATCATCTTACTGTCTGTTTATATAAATTTTACTATCTAGATAGTTTTATAAGTGGAATCATATAGTATTTGTCTTTTTGTGACTAGCTCATTTCACTTAGCATAATGTTCTCAAAGTTTATCTATGTGGCAACATGTGTCAGAATTTCTTTCCTTTTTAGGCTGAATAAAGCCTTAAATAAAAATACTCTAATGTATATACCACATTTTGTTTATGTGAATAAAGCCTTAAATAAAAATACTGTAATGTACATACCATATTTTGTTTATGTGTTCATCCATCAATGGACACTTGAGTTACTTTCACCTTTTGGATATTGTAAATAATGTTACTATGAACATGGGTGTACCAATATCCCCTCAACACCCTGCTTTCAAATCTTCTGGACATATACACAGAAATGGAATTGCTGGGTCCTACGGTAATAGTATTTCTTTTTAACATAATTGTTTACAATAGTTTTGATTTACAAAAAATTGAAGATAATACAGAAAGTTCCTCCAGTGTTCCATACCCAGTTTCCCCTATTATTAGTATCTTACATTAGTATGGTACATTTATTACCATTACCAATTAATGAACTAATATTGATATGCTATTGTCAACTAAATCCCATACTTCCTATCTCTTTAGTTTTTATCTAATGCCCCCATGGTATTTCAGAGTGTCATTTAAGATACCGTATTACATTTAGTTATCATGTTTCCTCTTTGCTGTGACATTTTCTTAGACTTTCCTTGTTTTTAATGACCTTAATAGTTTGACAGATATTTTGTAGAATGTCTTTCAATTGGGATTTGCCTGGTGTTTTTCTCATGATTAGACTGTGGCTATGGGATTTTGGGAGGAAGACCACATAGGAAAAGTGCCATTTTCATCACATCATATCAAGGGTCTGTAAAATCAATACAGCATCACTACCGATGTTGACCTTGATGAGATAGTGTTTGTCAGGTTTCCCCGCTGAAAAGTTAGTCTGCCTCTTGCTGCTTTCCACAGTATTTTTGGGAAAGAAGTCACTATGTGTAGCCCACAATTAAGAAGAAAGGAGTTATTTTCTACCTCCTTGAGGATATTGTATCTACATAAATTATTTGGAATTCTTCTACAGAGGAGATTTATCTCTTCTTCTCATTTATTTATGTATTCAATTATTTATTCATAATTATATGAACTCTTGGGGGATATTATATTTTATACTTTGGATTATAATCCAATAGTACTTTATTATGCTCTGCAAATTGTTCCAGATTGGGTCATCATTAGCTCTTTCAGTTGGCTCCTGTAGTATTTTTCCTGTTAATGCAATGCATATTGCATTATGTATCACAACTCAATATTTCAGCCTTGATATCTAGCATATAGCTCTATCTGGGTAATACAGCTGAGAAAAGGCTTATTCAAGTACAATGAAAGACAGAGAGTATTATGAAGCAGGTGTAATGGACATTGAGGTGTGCCACCAGATGCCCCCTTCAAGACTGAACTATTCATTTCCCCAGCTGATTATCAGTGGCTGATGGCCCTCAACAGAAACCTTCCAATTACGAGTTGCTGCAGGGCATAAAGAACCTGCACTGAGCCCTCATTTGGCCTGATTCTGAGGCCACATTCCAGCTGCTGAGTTCCCCATGGAATCAGCTTTCCCCTCTACCCAGGAATGTTTCCTGTATACACAAACAACACTAGGTAACCTCAAGTAAGGGAGATAAGGTGAAAGTCAGTATATTGAACACAACCAACTGGAAAGAAATTGGTTACAGAGAGGAGAGAATTTAAATTGTGAAAAATGTAGTGAGTCAGGTCAGGCTAGGTTATAAGGAATCCTGAAAGCCAGGCAAAAAGTTTAAGATTGAATTAGTAGCAATAAGTCTAACTGGGGGTGCAGTCCAATAAAGTATGATGTAGCCATACGAAGAAATAGTATCTAGCTATAAGAAACCAGAAATTGTAGCTAACATGTAGTCTAGCTATTAATGTGCAGGGCATACTTTGTATGCACTATGTCATTAGATCTTCATTACAACTATTAAGATCTCAATTTTGCAAATGACAAAACTGAAGCTCAAAAATATTCACTACCTTACCCAAGATCACATAGCTAAGAAGCCCACTGGAGAGATTCAGACTTTGCTCTGTATTACTCTTTAAGTAATGCTATTCTACTCACCATGTCTTAAAGAATATGTAATCATACGACATGGCAAATATTTCATAAATGATAAATGAAAGAA